TTTTTGCTTTCCATATACATTTCAAAAGTGCTGCTTTATTTGTTTGTTTGCTATACATATTTTCTTTGATTTTGCTTACCGCAACAAAAAAAATTCATATACAGGTGTGATATGAATGTTATTTCGTATACATATTGTATATTTGAAAGTAGTCGATTGATCGTGTCACAAAAACAGAAACCGTAAAATACGTCTGGAAAAATTCAGAAATACTTTTATTTTTTCGCTATAAATGTTTTTTTTTTTTTTTTTAAGAAAACGAAAAAAAAATTATATTTTTAATAATAAAATAAAAAAATTTATTTTCGACTCAGGGAAATCAGAGAAAAGTCCTGGGATTTTTATTAAAGTTACTATTTAAGTAACATTTTCCAAAAAAATTCAATTATTTAAAAAAATTTTTAATAAATTTCTTCGCAATAATTCAAAATTAAAATCTTTGAAAATCAGAATTGTTCACTATTATTTTTATTTTTTCTATTCATTAAAAATTCAGTAATTTTTGCGGAACCGGACTTAACATACCATTAAAAAATTCTTCTGTAGAATATTAATAATTTTTATAGTTTGAAATCAAAATATGTTATTTCTTTATGTAAATTAGAAATTAAAAAATTAAAAAATTGAACTAGTTAACTTGATAATATAAATAATAAGTAAAAATTAAAAACTAAAGATTTTTGAATAAAGACAATGAAAATCTATGAATATGTAAACTACGGTTCGGAATAACAAAACAGTTGGGAAAGTATTAAAAAAAAATATTTTTACACTAATTCAAATTCATCAATGAAAATTGGAAAAAAAAACCCAAAGAAACTTAGTTTTGTAGATGAAATTTCTAATGGAATAAAATAAAAACACGATTTTTGTTTAAAGAAAGAATTTTTTCGATTGTATTATGAAAAAAAACATACTGAAGAAATTAACGGTAGCTTTTTTCGTTTAGTTTGGTCCAGTTTTTTTTTATAAATTTTATTTTAACAAAAAGTTTTAACACAATAAGGCAAATAAAAAGAATTTCCTAGAAAATATTTCTTTAGAAAAATACAAACGAATGGATAAATAATATAATTAATACATATTATAAACAAACACGTTCCTTTTATGAATCATTAATTGACGTTTAAAATATGCTTTTGAAATTCTATAATGATTATCCATGCGAATTTTATCAAGATTTCACAGTGATTTCCCTCTTTATGTATACACTGTTAAAAATATGTCAAAGCATTCTGCCGTTGAACCAATTTTTCACATATATATTATATAAATTAAAAAAAAAAAAATTACATAAAACCCGCTTGATTTAACGTATACGTAAAGTATTTTATTTTTCATAAAAAGAAAGTTATCCTGTATTATATTCCAATTTCATTTCTCAAACAATATTACAAACTTGGTATAACTGGAAAAGTTCTTTTAGCCAAGAAAGCTTCTGTTTAATAATATAGGTATTTCAAAGTAAAAAGTTGAATTCTCGTAAGGGCTCGACTTATTTTTTTATAAATGTGCAAAAAAGAGATCATCTTATGTTTGCAAAAAAAGACATTATAAATAATATAAGAAATTGTATATATAAAGTTGAAGAATTTTTTTATAAATATACGTTTTTATGAATATTGCAATTACTGATCACTCGAGACACATATTTTAATATTTTAAGTCCTCTTTTTAAATTTAAACTCTTTGTTTTAATTTAATTTTACAGAGAGTCATATTCGAATGTATTCATATTAAATTATTCATTTATTTAAACACAATTACTCATATGTAACCTCCTATTTTAAAACATCCATTATTTTCAGTATTTTTTTTTTTTTAATTCAATTTTTAATTTATTTTCCTTTTTTGATATTTTTATGGTTGCCACAGGTCAGGGAAATCAGAAAACAGTCAGGGATTTTTATTCAAGTAGTGGAAAAAAATTAATTTGCAGGGTTCATAATTAGTTTTCATTAATTTTTTAATATAACTTTAATTAATTATTGAAAATCATGGATTTATAGAAGAATTTTAGTTAAAAACACTAAAAGAATTGAATTTTAGAATTTACAAATGTTTGCAAAAATTCAATTATGTTTAAAAAATTTTTTTAATTCTTGTCAAAATTTCAATTATTTTTAAAAATAATAAAATTCTTCTCCAAGAATCAATTATTTTTAAAAATAATAAAATTCTTCTCCGAGAATCAATTATTTTCGAAAATAATAAAAATTTCACAGAAATTCAACTATTTACAAATTTTTTCGCAATAATTCAATTATTTTCATAAATAATAAAACTCATTGGAGAATTTCAATTATTTTTAATACAACTGTAATCGAATACCTCGAAAAGTGTATAATTATTATTAAAAATTTTATTAAAAGGCGTAAAAAAATTCAATTATTTAAAAAATTTTTTATATAATTCTTAATCAGAATTCAATTTTAACAAACATTTAATTATTTAATAAATTATTTATTATTTATAATTACTAAAATTCTTCGCAGAAATTCAATTATTTTCATGAATAATAAAATTCATTATAGAATTTCAATTATTTTTAATACAACTTTAACCGAATACCTCGAAAAAACTCATTATTCATTGAAAATTTTTATTAAAATTCGTCGAAAAAATTCAATAATTTAAAAATTTATTAATAAAATTCTTTATGAGAATTCAATTTTGAAAAACATTTATTTATTCAATAATTTTTTCACTTTTGTATTTAAATAATTGAATTCTCGTAGAATTTTCTAACAAAAATTGTTATAAACATGAATTTTAGTTACAATTTTAGATAATAATTAAATATTAAAAGCATTATTATTTTAATAAAATTCTACGAAAAAATTTAATTATTTTCATAAATAAAAAAAAATTTCCCATGAATTCAATTATTTTCATAAATAATGTAATTTTTAACAGTTATTCAATTTTTTAAAAACATTTTTATAAAATTCTTCCCGATAATTCAATTATTTTAAAATATTTTGAATTCTTTCATGAAATTCAATTAAAATTGTATTGAAAATAATTTACTTCTTATAAAGAATTGTGTCAAAATTCTTAGAAAGAATTGAATTCTTTTGAAGAATTTCATTAGAATTTTAAAAATAATTGAATCTTGTCTCATTTATGAAAATAATTGAATTCATGCGAAGAATTTTATTAAGATTTATGAAACTAATTGAATATCTGCAAAGATTTTTATTATTTTACGAAAATATTTAAATTCTTGCGAAAAATTTTATTAAAATTTCAGTAAGTAATTGAAGATGTGCTTAAATAATAAAATCAATTATTTTTAATATAATTTTAATGGAATTCCTCGAAAAATGTAATTAATCTTTAAAGACATTGTTGTAATTAATTTTAAAAATTTTATTAAAATTCTTAAAAAGAATTGAATTCTTTCGAAGAATTTCATTAAAACTTAAAAAAATAATTGAATCTTGTCGAGAAATTTTATAAAAATTATATAAAAAATAATTGAATTCCTACGAAAAAGTTTTATCAGATCTTTTTTTTTTATAATATATAAATTTTACGAAAATTTTGATATTTATGAAAATAATTGAATTCTTGCGAAGAATTTTATTATGATTTTTGAAAATAATTGAATTTCTGGAAAGATTCTTATTATTTAACGAAAATATTTAAAATCTTGAGGAAAATGTTATTGAAATTTCTGTAAGTAATTGAAGATCAGCAAAGAATTTCATTATTTTTAATTTATGTCAAGAAATTTATTTAATTTTTTCTAAATTATTTGAATCTCTGCGAATTTTTTACAGGAATGAATTATTTTTGGAAATTTTAATAAAATTCTTTATGAAAATAATTGAATTCCTGCAATGAATTTTATTACATTTCTTTCAAATAATTGAAATCCTGTGAAGAATTTTATTATTTTTGAAAATAATTGAATTCTTGTAAAGAATTTTATTAGATTCTTTAAAAATAATTGAATTCTTTTGAGAACTTTTATTTAAAAAGTAGTTTGTGAAAATATTTGAATTTCAACAAAGAATTTCATTATATTCGTGAAATGTAATTAAATTCTTACAAAAAATTTAAGAGAATAATTCCATTTTTCGAGAAATTCATTTAAATTTGTATTAAAAATAATTGAAATCCTAAAAAAAATTTTATTATTTCTGATAATAATTGTATTCTTACAATGAATTTTATTACATTTATTTTAAATAATTAAATTGATGTGAAAAATTGTATTACTTTTGAAAATAATTGAATTCTTGCGAAGGATTTTATTAACATTTTTGTATGTAATTTAATTTTTTTTTTGAAAAATTTTATGGAAATTTAAATTATTATAAAAGTTATTGAATTTCAAAAGGTTTAAATTTGAATTTTTTGAAAATCTTAATTTCTATAGAAAAATAATAATGATTAAATATTTATTTAAAAAAGAAGTTATTGATGTTTTCGAATAATTTTACTTTTGAAGAAATTTGTAAATAATTGTAATAGAACATTTTTTTTTTGATTATCTATTAATTTTGGAAGTGAATCAGAATATTCATTAGGGCCAAGGAAAAAGTTCAAATTTTCTTTGGAAATCAGGGAAAAAGAAAATTTAATTTTTGTGGCAACCCTGATTTTTATCGTCTCCAATTTTTTTAGATTCTTAAAATTAATTTCTTAATTAATTAATTTTAATTTTTAAAATTAATTTTTTATTTTTTTTTAATAATAAAAATTGATATTTATAATCTTTATTTAAGAAATAGTGCCATTGGTAGCATTTAAACTAAAATAAAAGAAATTAATTATTTTTTTTCAAAAAAGGTTCTATAAAATGTTGAATAAAAAAAATTATTAACCTGTGAGTGTAAATTAAATAATCTAGTGCTTAGTGGCACAAAGCTAAAAAAGAAATCAGGGCGTAAAAAAATTTCAATTTTTGTAACAATTCTGAAAAGAGAATAATTTGCACATTTATGAAGAAAACCTAATTTTAAGTGTGTGTCTTTTTTTGTCATTGACAGGGCGATTCGACTGACTGGACCATTTGTCACAATGATCTACAGTATGATCACGGGAGATATGCTAACATTTGGAATCATATACACGATTGTATTATTTGGATTTTCTCAGTCGTTTCACTTTCTTTATAAAGGATTTCCAGGGGTGAAGTCGACCCTCTATTATTCTTATCCTTCAACTTGGATGGCGCTGTTTCAGATAACCCTCGGTGATTATAGTGTAAGATCTTTATGTGCGATCATATTATTACTCTATTTTCATATAATCTTCAATACATCATGCATTCAAAATTTTATCCCATACCCTATTTATGTATATTAACTTTCTCTCTCATGTCTTTCAGAGATAATATTTCGCTTTTATTTGCATATTTTATATTATATAATCGCATCAAAATCCTGATTGATGTCGTCAAAATCGTAAACAATTTATTTGAATAATTGTCTAAGGAACGTGTCAAGAAGAATAAATATTTTCTTTTTTTTATTTTTTTACCGAAGTAGCAACTATTCGAATTTTTACGCTTTGACTACAAGACCTTGAATGCTAATTTCTTGAATAGGTTTTAAATCAAATCTGCTCGGCGCAAGTATTTTTTTTGCTTTCAGATTTTCGCACTCGATAATTAATTTTAAAAAAGTAGCTTCCAAACTAAAAAAAAGTAGTAAATAGTAGCAAAAAGTAGCTTTCAAACTAAAAAAAGTAGTAAATAGTAGCAAAAAGTAGCTTCCAAACTAAAAAAAGTAGTAAATAGTAGCAGAAAGTAGCTTTCAAACTAAGAAAAGGAGTAAAAAAGAAGATATCGAAAAATTAAACTTGAAGACCAAAAAAACTCATTTTAGAAACTTCACAAAACTGACAAAAATTCCATTCTATATTTTATTTTCCTGACTTTTTTCTAATTTTCATAAAAAAATTAAACTTCTTTCTTATCCTGCTAATAAATTGAATTTCTGCAACGAATTTTATTATTCATGTAAAAGATTTTCAATATTTATAAAAATAATTTAATTCCTGCGAAGAATTTTATAACAATTTTTTAATTATTCATTTCTTTCGACTAATTTTATGCAAATTCTAATCTAAATAATTGAATTCCTGAGAAATTTTTATTATTCATGAAAAGAATTGAATTCTTAAGAAAATTTTTACAAAAGATTTTTTAAATACTTGAATTCAGTTTGGAAATTTTATGAAAATAGTAGATATTGAAAATCATTGAATTGCGAAACAAAAATTAAATTTTACAAAGAATTCTATTAAAATTTTTGAGAATAATTGAATGTCTGTGTGGAATTTTATTAAATTTTTTTGAAAATAATTGAATTCCTAAAAAGCATTTTATTAATTATGAAAATAATTGAATTCTAGCTAACGATTTCATTAGATTTTTTTAAAATAATTGAATTTCGAAGAAGAAATTTATTACTTTTCAAAAGAATTGAATTCTTCTGATGAATATTGTTATTTATGAAAATAATTGAATTTGGGAAAAGAAAATTATTTTTATTTACTAAAATTCATTTTTAAAATTTATTTCAATTCTTATTTAAATAATTGAATTTCTTGTGAAATCTTTATTATTTATGAAAATAAATAATTTAATATTTAAATTAAAACACTTTAGTAAATTTTACTAAAATAGTAAATATTGAAAATCATTGAATTGAGAAAAATTTTGGAATATAATTGAAATTTTTCCAACAATTTTTTTAAAATTTTGAAAAATTATTGAATTTTGTAGAAGAATTTTCCAATTTATAAAGATAATTGAAATCATGACGAGATATTCGTTAAATTTTTTTAAAATAATTGAATTTCTGCGCAGAATTTTATTACTTTAAAAATAATTGAATTTTGCAAAGAATTTTATTAAAATTACTAAAAATAATTTAATTTCAGTGAAGATTTTTGATATTTATCAAAATAATTGAATTTTGGAAAGAATTTTATTAAAATGCCTCAAAAAAATTGAATTTTAGGGAATAATTTTGTTACTTATCGACATAATTGAATTCTTTCGAAGAAATAATTGATTTCTTTCCAACAATTTTAATAAAATATTTGAAAATAATTGAATTCTGGAGAAGAATTCTAATATTTTTGTAAATAAATGAATTCTTCTAAAGAATTTATAAAAAATATTTTTTTAAATAATTGATTTTTTCGAGGAATTGAAATTAATTTTTTAAAAATAATTGAAATTCTGCGAGGAATTTGATTATTTATGTAAATAATTGAATAGTCGCAATGAATTTTACTAAACTTTTAAAAAATAATTGAATTATTCTATGAAAAATTTTGTTATTTATGAAAATAATTGAAAAGTTGTTAAGAATTTCATTAAAATTTTAAAAAATAATTGAATTATTCAGGAAGATTATATTAAAATGTTTAAAAAGAATTGAATTTATTTGAAAAATTTGTTTTATTTAAATTATTGAATTTTTTTAAATAATTCAATTTCCAAGAAGAAATTTATTACTTTTAAAAATAATTGAATTCTTGTGATGAATATTGTTATTTATGAAAATAATTGAATTTTGCAAAGAATTTTATTAAAATTTTCAAAAATAATTGAATTCCTGAGAAAAATTTCATTATTTCTGAAAATAATTGAATTCTTTCGAAAAATTATTTATGTAAATAATTGAATTCTTGGGAATAATTTTATTAAAACCTAAAAAAATAATTAAATCATTTCAAAAAAATTAAATTAAAATTGTATTTAAAATAATTGAATTTCTGTGAAAAATTCTAATATTTTTGTAAATAATTGAATTCTGCCAAAGCATTTTTTAAAAAAAACATTTTTTTAAATAATTGATTTTTTCGAGAAATTGAAATTAAATTTTTAAGAATAATTACATTTTCTGAGCAATTCCTGTAAAATTTTATTAAATATAATTGAATTCCTGAGAAAAATTTCATTATTTTTGAAAATAATTGAATTATTCATAAAAATTTTATTAAAATGTTTAAAAAGAATTGAATTTCTTTGGAAAACTCTGTTATTTTTGAAAATAATTGAATTATTCTTCATAAGAATTTTTTAAACATTATTTTAAATAATTAATTTTTTCGTAATATAATAAATGCTATGAAAATTTTATTTTAAATAATTGAATTCTTCTGGAAAACTTTATTTGTGAAAATAATATAATTTTTCGATTAATTATGTAGTATTAAAAATAATTGAAATTCTTCGATAAGTTTTATTATATTTATAAAAATAATTAAATTTATTCTTTCTTAGAATTTTATCAAAAATTTTTTTAAAAAATTGAATTTCCATGAAAAATGAAAGTATTTGAATTTTTTGTGAAGAATTGTATAAAATTTTTGTTAAATAATTGATTTTTTCAAAATTGAATTCTGTTGAAGGATTACTTATCTAAATAATTGAATTTTTGGGAAGAATTTTATTAAAATCTAAAAGAATAATTGAATTATTTAAAGAAAAATTTAATTAAAATTAAATTTAAAATATTAAATTAAATTTTTAATATTATTAAAAATAATTGAAATATTTCTATGAGTTTTATAATTTATGAATATAAATATAAAATTGAATTTTTGCTTAGAATTTGAGCAAAAAATTTTTTTTAAAAAAAAATTGAATTTCCATGAAAAATGTTATTAATAGTGAAAGTTGAATTCACAATTGAATTATTGTGAAGAATTGTATAAAAATTTTGTTAAATAATGGATTTTTTTTAAATGCTATCAATCTCGTAAAAATATTACAGAATTGATATTTTTCGTTAAATAAACGAATCAGAATTTTTAAATTATTCCTTTGATAATTATATTTTACTTAAATACCTAATATAATTATACATATATTTATTTCAAATATAAAGTTTACTTACGAAATAAAATTGACAGGAAACATATGTGGTTTACTCACCTGAAAGAAAAAGAAAAAAATACTTTATATTAGAATTATTATAAAAAAGAAATTAAGAATTAGAACAAATATAATAATTAATTTATAAATTATTATTTCAGGAATCTTGATACAACAAAATATGTGTAAATAATTAAGTACGATAATGATAAATTTTTCCAGAATTTTTAGAGGATTTTATGAATTTTTTATTTTTATCTGTTGTACTTTTTTTAATAAAAAAATGGGGGATTAGGTGACAAAGGACTGTGATTTAAAGTACACAAATAACAGAATTGAAGGAATCCCTTTGAAATGTATGATGATGATGATGATGATGATAACAATAACAATTGGAATTCGGCAAATAATGCATAAATATGAGAATAATGTGTGCACTGTGCGGTATTGAGTAAATTACTGGAATATTGTTTAGCGTATCAGAAATGATTATCCCGGCGCGGCAGTGCCAATTCATTTCTCCGATTGCAATACGACGTTGTAAATTCTAGGAATCAGCCCAGGAAGCACGACTGTTTGCGACATGAGTAAACTGAGTAAACTGAATGGACCGAATGGCATAACTGGGTTATCGTTTTTACAGTCGCAAAATTATTGTTCACCTCCTAACATCGAGTTTTGCTATTAAATTCCCTTTCTGCTTACAGTATTCGGACTTGAGCTATACGACCTATCCCAATCTCAGTAAAACTGTTTTTGCCATTTTTATGGTCCTCGTGCCAATTCTCTTGCTCAACATGTTGATTGCCATGATGGGAAATACATACGCTCACGTTATCGAACAGAGTGAAAAGGAATGGGTCAAGCAAGTAAATTTCTTTTTTTTATTTACGAAATAAAAAAAAATATTTTCGTCTGTCACCCGCTTTGTCTTTGCTTTTAAAACAGGGTTGCCACAAAAATTTAATTTTCTTTTCCCTGATTTCCAGACAAAATTTTAACTTTTTCTCTGACCCTATAGAATATTCTGATTCACTCTCAAAATTATTAGATATACTAAAAAAAATGTTTATAATAATTAAAGATGACCCAGTGATAAACTCATTATTTTATATTATCAGACTTTATAAAAAAAAATTTTTTTAATTATTTTTTATGAAAATAATTGAATTATTGAGAAGAAATTTATAAAACATTAGTAACTAATTGAATTTTGCAGAAGAATTTTGATATTTACAAAGATAATTGAAATTTTGAGGAGAATTTAAAAAAAAATTTTGAAAATAATTGAATTTCTGCGAAGAATTTTCTTACTTTTGAAAATAATTGAATTTCTGAGAAGAATTTTATCAGAACTTTTGAAAATAAATAAATTTCCGGGATGAATTTTATTATTTATGAAAATAATGATAATTTTGACGAGGAATTTAAAAAAATTTTGAAAATAATTGAATTTCTAGGATGAATTTCTTTATTTATAAAGATAATTGAAATTTCGACAAGAATTTTATTATTATTTTTACAAATAATTAAATTTCAGAGAAGAATTTTATTATTTATAAAGATAATTGAAATTTTGAACAGATTTTTTTAAAAGTGTTTAAAAGTAATTGAATTTTGCAGAAGAATTTTGATATTTATAAAAATAATTGAAATTTTTAACAGGTTTTTTAAAAATGTTTAAAAGTAATTGAATTTTGCAGAAGAATTTTCTTACTTTTGAAGATAATTGATTTTTGTAAAGAATTTTATCAGAACTTTTGAAAATAATTAAATTTTCATGATGAATTTTATTATTTATGAAGATAATTAAAATTTTGACGAGAAATTAAAAAAAAATTTTGAAAAAAATTGAATTTCTAGGATAAATTTTATTATTTATAAAGATAATTGAAATTTTGACAAGAATTTAAAAATAAATTTTGAAAATAATTGAATTTCTAGGATAAATTTTATTATTTATAAAGATAATTGAAATTTTGACAAGAATTTAAAAATAAATTTTGAAAATAATTGAATTTTGCAAAGAATTTTATCAGAACTTTTGAAAATAAATAAATTTCCGGGATGAATTTTAATAATTTTGACGAGGAATTTAAAAAAAATTTTGAAAATAATTGAATTTTTAGGATGAATTTTATTATTTATAAAGATAATTGAAATTTTGACAAGAATTTTATTAAAATTTTTTTTAAATAATATTAAATTTAGGAGAAGAATTTTTTTATTTATAAAAATAATTGACATTTTAAAGAAAATTTTTTAAAAAATGTTAAAAACACATAATTTTATTATTTATAAAGAAAATTGAAATTTTTACGAGAATTTTTTTTTAATTTTTAAAAACATTTGAATTTTGGAGAAGAATTTTATTACTCTTGAAAATAATTGAATTTTGCAAAGAATTTTATTAAAATTACTAAAAATAATTGAATATTTTGAACGAATTTTGATATTTATCATCATAATTGAATTCTTTCGACGAATTTCAATAAATTTTTTTAGATTAATTACAATAAAGTCTTTAAGGATTAATTACATTTTTAGAGGAATTCCATTAAAATTGCATTAAAAATAATTAAAATTCTGTGATGAGTTTTATTTTATTATTTATGAAAATAATTCCATTATTGATAAGAAATTTATTAAAATTTTTAAAAACTAATTAAATTCCTGTAAATAATTCACAGAAATTCAATTATTTAAAAAAATTTAATAAAATTCTTTGGCATAAATTAAAAATAACAAAATTCTTTTGCACATCTTCAATTACTTACCGAAATTTTAATAAAACTTTTCGCAAAAATTTAAATATTTTCGTTAAATAATAAAAATCTTTTCAGAAATTCAATTATTTTTAAAAATCTTAATAAAATTCTTCGCAAGAATTTAATTGTTTTTATAAATATCAAAATTTTCGCTGAAATTAAAATATTATTTAAAAAAAAGTGTTGATAATACTTTTTCGTATTATTTTCAAATAATTGAAAATTTGCAATTAATTTTATTATTTGTAAAGGTAATTGAATTATCGGGAAGAATTTTATAAAAATAGTTTTTAATAATTGAATACTCAGAAAAATAATTAAATGTTTTCGTCGAATTTTATTAAAATTTTTTTAAATAATTGGATTTTTTCGAAAATTTTATTAAAAATAGTAGATATTGAGAATTATTGAATTAAGGCAATTTTTAAAAATAATTGAATTTTGTCAAAGAATTTTGTTATTCAAAAATATAATTGAAATCTTGTGTGAGAATTTTAAAAACATTTTTGAAAATAATTGGATTTTGGAGAAGAATTTTATTATTTATAAAGATAATCGAAATAATTTTATATTTTATTTTATGATAATTTTCAGGAGAATTAAAAAAAAAATTTGAAAATAATTGAATTTTGGAGAAGAATTTTTAAAAATATTTTGAAAATAATTGATTTTTGGGGAAGAATTTTATTATTTATGAAGATAATTGAAATTTTGAGGAGAATTTAAAAAAAAATTGTTGAATATAATTGAATTACTGTAATATTTTGAAGTTCATCTATTTATGAAAATTGGTGGTAATTTCATTGTTTATCATACTAACAAAAAAAAATACATAAAAATTCAAAATTTTCTTATGAATTCTAAAAATGAAATTTTTTCCAGTACTTTTAATAAAAATTTCTTATCTTTCTTTGAATTCCCTGATTCCCCTGACCTGTGGCAACCCTGTTGAAATAAAAAATTTCGATTTTAAATAAATTTTTTAATAAAATAGCACATTTTTTATTTTAAATAGTCATTTAATATCAAATGGAAAATTAACAATAGATACATAATAAATGTAGAAAATAATTTGCAAATTAAATTAATTTTCTTGATGAGAAAATTCTTCTCGAGTATAAATAAAATGTCAAGAAGGGTAGAGAGGGGGTGGGGGAGGATAATACTACAGTCGAAAAATAATAAGCTCTATATATTTCCTTGCGTTTGCCAAGTGGGCCAAAATTGTCGTCTCACTGGAGCGAGCAGTCTCTCAAAAGGATGCACAGAACTATTTACAAGAGTACAGCATCAAACTTGGTCCTGGAGACGATCCTAATAATCCGGCATCCGAACTAAGAGGAGTCATGGTGATTAAAAGTAAATCCAAGACAAAAGCAAAGCAAAGAAAGGGCGCCGTCAGCAATTGGAAGGTCGTTTTATTATTCCTCTTTTTGCCTTTTCTTTAATTTTCACTCAAATTATACTCAAATTATTCTCAAATTACACCGCAAAATGCACTTGTTTATTTATGCAAAACAATTTTTCTTAATTCACCATTCTGTGATCTTTGCAATGACAAATCTGAATGCTACGACAAATCTCAATTTTAAAAATAATTCCTAATTATAGAGTTTTAATTTTGTTATTTAAATTCTAAAAATACAAAATAACTTAAAATTACGAATTGTGATCATTCATTGAGAATCAAGTTTGAGAATCAAGTTCCTCAAGATATTATCGAGGTGGATTATATTTTTGCTTTTTGAAAGTGGAACGCTATGTATGAAACATGAGTGTTATTATTAAATGTGACGTTTATCTGATTTTATCCAGAGGGTTGGCAAAGTAACTATAAACGAACTGAGGAAACGTGGGATGACCGGAGAGGAATTACGGTGCATTATGTGGGGACGTGCGTCCTTTTCTACTCCAGTCCGAGCAAGGTAATCTTTAATCGTGTATCCTACTCATGCTGGGATCAGTTACGTATCAAGTCCATCTACCAGCTTCGCATCTCAAAATAAATTTCAATAGAAACTTGCGAAATTCAATTTGGTTTTCATTAAGGATTTCATAATAGATACATTTTCGATATAATATTTAAATATAGATTGCATACAAGTAATTAAGTTTTAATAAGTACACTGAGGAAAAAAATGCTGTAGAATCAATTTCTTTGTCACAATAAACAAGCATATTCGATATCGTTCGAATACAAATACTCTTGGTTACAGGCTTCACAGTCTGTCCCCTATTTCCCTAAAAGTCCCCTTTTTTTAGTTTTGGCCCCTAAACGTACCCTATTTTGAAAATTAACCCTAAATTTCCCCTATTTTTTCTTTTATCTTTTAATGATGAATTCACAACAAATTTAGCAAAGTGCCGTTGAAACTTTCAATTGGAAACTTTTGTTTTGAAAGTTTTAAATCTTGAAATTTATGATCGATGAAATTTTTCATGAAATTTATAAAATTTGTAAGATTAGTAGGTATTTTGGTAAAGTCAAGTCTCAATTATGTTTAGAAGTTGATTGTATTTTAAATTCTCATAATCTGCACAAACTTGTTATGACCTACATTATTTTTAAAAGACAATATTCATCCCACGAATTCAATTATTTTCAAAAGTCATAAAATTCTTCAAAGAAATTCAATTATTTTTTTAAATTTTCACGAATATCTCGTCAAGAATTCAATTATCTTTACAAATAGCAAAATTATTCGCCGAAAATTCAATTATTTTCAAAAATTTATAAAAATCTTTGCAAAAGTTCAATTACTTTCAAAAGTTTTTTGCAATTTAATAATTTTCAATATTTACTATTTTCATAAAATTTATCAACAGATTTAATTATAGAAAAAACTTTTTGATACAATTCTGCGAAAAGATTCAATTATTTTCTAAAGTAATAAAATCTCATTTACGAATTCAATTATTTTCATCGCAGAATTTCAAATATTTTTAATACAAATTTTAAATAAATTCCTTGAAAAATGCAATTATTATTAAAAATTTTATTAAAACTTGAGGAAAGAATTTAATTTTAAGAAACATTCAATTATTCAGTAAAACAATAAAATTCGTTGCAATAATTCAAGTATTTTCATAAATAACATTTAAATCGTGGCAGAAAATCAATTATTTTAAAAGATTTTTAAGTAATTTTGCAAATAAATTCAATTAGTTTGAAAAACAACGAAATCGTATAAATTCTTCCCATAAAATCAATTATTCTAAGGAATTTTAATAGAATTCTTTTTTAAAATTCAATTATTTTGATAAATATCAAAATTCAATACAAGAATTCAATTCTTTTGAAAAGTTAATAAAATACTTTGCAGAAAATAAATTATTTCCAAAATTTTTTAAAAATTCTCTTCAAGAATTCAATTATCTTTTTAAATAGATGGGGGAATTCTTCTCAAGAATTAAATTATTTTCAAAAATTTTTCAAAAATTCTTCTCAAGAAGTCAATTATCTTGAAAAATTTTAATAAAATTCTTCTCATGAATTCAACTGTTTTCAAAAATTATTATTTAAATTTTTCTCAGGAATTCAATTATTTTTAAAAAATTTAATAAAATTCTTTAAATAGTTTTCAATTATTTTCTAAAATTGTTATAAAATTCTTTAATATAATAAATTTCATTAAAATTTTAATTAAATTCCTCTTAAAAGAAATTAAATATTTTCAAAAGTTGTTAATAGAATTCTTCGTAAAAATTAAATTTTAAAACCTTTTAAAAATTCAATTACTTCTAAAAATTCATGCGACAATGCTTTTAATGTTCAATTATTCATTATCTAAGATTTTGACTGAAATTCATATTTAAATCAATTTTTATTTGAAAATTCCACGAGAATTTTAATTATTTATATACAAAAATAAATAATTTATTAAATAATTGAATGTTTCTTAGAATTGAATTTTCATAAAGAATTTTATCAACAAATTTTTGAAGAATTCTAAGAAAATTTTTAAGAATTGAAACATTTTTTGAGGAATTTGATTAAAATTGTGTTAAAAATAATTGAAATTCTGCTTTGAGTTTTATTACTTTATTAAAATAATTTAATTCCTAAAAATAATTGAATTTTTACGAATTTCTTTTTAAATAATTGAATACTTTTGGGTTCAATCTATAATTGAATTTTGGAAAAGAATTTTGCAATTTATAAAGATAATTGAAATCCTGATAAGAATTTAAAAATAATTTTGATTTCTGCGAAAAATTTTATTAAAATTACTGAAAATAATTGATTATTTGGAAAGAATTTTGATATTTATCAAAATAATTAGATTCTTTCGAAGAATTGCGTTTAAACATTAATACAAAAGTAAATAATTGAATTCTCCTTAAGAATTTTATTAATAAATTTTTAAATAATTGAATTCTTTTGACGAATTTTAATAAAATTTTTAAGAATAATTACATTTTTCGAGGAATTCGATAAAAAATTGTATTAAAAATAATTGAAATTCTCCGATGAGTTTTATTATATATATGAAAATAATTGAATTTCTAAAAGAAATTTTGCTGCGTTTATAAAAAAAATTGAATTCAAAAATTTTAATAAAATTCTTCTCATGAATTCAATTGTTTTCAAAAATTATTATTTAAATTCTTCTCTGGAATTCAATTATTTTTAAAAAATTTAATAAAATTCTTCAAAAAGTTTTCAATTATTTTCTAAAATTGTTATAAAATTCTTTAATATAATAAATTTCGTTAAAATTTTAATTAAATTTCTTAAAAGAAATTAAATATTTTCAAAAGTTGTTAATACAATTCTTCGTAAAAATTAAATTTTAAGAAACATTCACTATTATTTATTTTTGTATTTAAATAATTGATTTCTCGTAGAATTAAATTATTATTTTTCGTACTTTTAACTAACAATTGTGAAGAATTAATTTTTTTTGAAAAAGTTTAATTGAATAATAATTGATGTTATTGATTTAAAGTAGAAGTTTAGTTAAAAATTCTAGAAAATGTTAATTGAATTGAAATGATAGAAATAATTTTGAAGAAATTACAGTAACAATATTCTTATAATAATAATAAAATAATTATTTTGTCAGTTGGTCATCTTTAATTATTATAAAACATAAAGAAATGGATCTAATAATTTTTAGAGTGAATCAGAATATTCTTTAGGGTCAGGAAAAAAAAGCTTCTGGTTCTAAATTATCAATTATTATGATTTAATATACATTTTCCTAATTCAATACAGAAATTATTGCTTCAAAAAAAAATTGAATTCAATAGCATTGGCGCTATTGGGCCAATAATTTTTTTTCTCAGTGATACAAAAAAGAGAATTTGTTTTACAAGAATTTTTCATACCGAAAATGTTTTTAAATCAAAGAGACAAAGTTATTTTCTAGAATTGCATAAAAGTTGTTTATTCAAGTTTACACATCCTCTTGATGCGAGTGATGAGATGAATAAAATGAAGTGTCGACATAATGTCTCACATAAATATGTGCAGTGGAGAAATATAAATTCTTCCCTTTCTTTCATATTTCTACTTTTGTAAAATTTTTCAAATTTTTCGACATTTATTTGACATTATATTGTCTCTATGAATGCGACAGAATGACAGATTAACATCTGTTTATTTATTCATTTATTTATTCATTTATTTATTCATAAATATTCATAAATATTCATAGAACATTTATAGAGAAAATAAAATTTTTATTTTTCTATTTTCGCTTTGAACTTTTTATCATTGCATTTTTATCATTTGCAAAGAGATGTCAAATAGTAAATTTAAAATGTGAAATTGAAATCTTTTTTAAATTTGCTTTGATAGTTTAAATATTGAGAATGGCGAGACGATGCCGGGAGTTTTTGGAGATGCATTAACGGCGGCTTTAGATGTAATGGTTCTATCTCACGATATTGAATTGCCGCCGGGAACAAATGATGCGACAAATATAATGAATCAAAATTTGAAGACGCCAAATGCAATGTCGCAAGTTACATCAAATGGCCAAGTAAGAGCCGTGACTAATGGCCGGCAAATCGAGTCAATTGCTATTCAACAAAGTACCATGAATAATTCTTCCCTCACTCAAGTTCAAGCTCAAGATAAATCTGCAAAATCTGTCAAACCTGTGGCGCCAACAGTCACAAATGTTTCGAAATCGCAACCGAATTCAGGTGACAATTCATTTTTTATCATAGTTTTCTCATTACTATTAATAATTACATATAATTTCAGAAAAGTTTAATAAAATTCTTGGATTAAATTAAAAAAAAACCAAAATTCTTTGCAAGAATTTAAATATTTTCGTTAAATAATAAAAATCTTTCCAAAAATTAAATTATTTTCAATTTTAATAAAATTCTTCGCAAGAATTTAATTGTTTTTAATAAATATCAAAAATTTCCCTGAAATTCAAATATTTTCAAAATAGTTTTAATAAAACATTTCGTAAGAATTAAATTATTTTTTATACAATTTTAAAAAATTTTTTTGGTAAAATTCAATTTATTCTTAAAATTTTAATGAAATTCTTCGAAAGAATTCAATTATATTCTTAAAAATTTTTGACACAATTCTTTATATAAGAAGTAAATTATTGACAATACATTTTTGATTGAATTTCATGAAAAAATTTGAAATATTGAAAAATAATTGAAATTTTGCCGCATGAATTTTATTATTTTTGAAAATAATTGAATTCTTGCAAAGAATTTTACATTGTTTAAAATTTTATATAATTTATGACGATAATTAAAGTTTTTCGAGGAATTTAATTTATGTTGCATTCAAAAATAACTGAATTTTTATAAAGAATTTTATTGAAGCTTTTGAAAATAATTGAAATTTTTACAGAAGTTTTATTAAAATTATATTCAGAATAATTATACATTTTTGCGAAGAATTTTATTAAATTATGAAAATAATTGAATCCCTGTAAAAAAATTTTATTAAATTCATGAAATAAATATTGAATTATGACTAAGAAATTTAGAAAAAAAATTGTAAACAATTCAATTCTTTCAGGAAATTGTATTAAGATAGTGGATATTAAAAATCATTTAATTGAGGATTTTTTTTATTAAAATAATTGAAAGTTTGATAAAAAATTGTATTAAAATTCTAAAAAATTCCTAAAAAAATATTTTATTATTAATAAAAATAATTGAATTATTGCCAAGAAATATATAAAAAAAATTTAAATAATTGAATTCCTGCAAAATTTTTATTATTTTGACTAGAATTTTATCTACTTTTTTTTAAATAATTGAATTCTTTTAATAAATTTTAATAAAATTTTTAAGAATAATTACATTTTTCGATAAATTCGATTAAAATTGTATTAAAAATAATTGAAATTCTGTGACGAGTTTTATTATTTATGAAAATAATTGAATTTCTAAAAAGCATTTTACGAAGAAATTTATAACAAATTTGTAAATAATTGAACTCCTGTGAAATTTTTATTATTTTTAAAAATAATTGAATTCTTGCGGAGAACTTTATTAAAATTTTTTTTAAATAATTGAATTCTTTTGGAAAATTTTATTAAAATAGTAGATATTAAAAATAATTGAAAATAAAAGTCAAAGACAATATCGAAACGAAAGTCAAAGTCAAATTACAAAATTGCAGTCCAGAATTGAAAGAGATGACAAATATTTCAAAAATATTTTAATAAAATTTCTCAAAAGAATTCAATTATTTTTAAAGAATGTAATAAAATTCGTTGTAAGAATTCAATTATTTTCATAAATAAAAAAAAATTCTTCACAGGAATTCAATTATTTAAAAGAAATGTAATAAAATTCGTTGCAAGAATTCAATTATTTTCAAATAAATAATAATATTCTTCGCAGGATTTCAATTATTTAAAAAAAAAATGTAATAAAAATTCGTTGCAAGATTTCAATTATTTTCTTTAATAATAAAATTCTTCACAAGATTTCAATTATTTTTAATTTAATTTTAAGTAAATTCTACGAAAACTGTAATTAATTTCAAAAATTTTATTAAAATTGTTCGAAAGAAATAAATGAACAATTATCAATTATATTTTTAATAATTTTTTTAAATGTTTCTTAAAAATGAAATTTTACTGAAACTTATTATATTAAAAAATTTTATAACAATTTTTGAAAGTAATTGAAAAATTTTTGAAGAAATTTATTAAAATTTTTAAAAATAATATTGATTCTCTGGGAAGAATTTTGATAGCTATCAGGATAATTTAATTCTTTCGACGAATTTCAATAAAATCTTTAAGATTAATTACATTTTTCGAGAAATTTGGTTAAAATTGTATTAAAAATAATTGAAATTCTATGATGAGTTTTGTTATTCATGAAAATAATTTGAATCTCTATAAAAGTTTTATTATTTATAAAAAATAATTTAATTATTGCGAAAAATTTTATAAAAAAATTGTAAATAGATGAATTTTTCATTATTGTATTTAAATAATTGAATTATCGTTGAATTTTCTTTTAAAAATTGTTTTAAAAATGAATTTCAGTTAAAATTTTAGATAATAATTGAATATTAAAAGCATTATTGCATGAATTTTTAGAAATAATTGTATTTTGAAGAAGTTTAATTGAATTTTTTTTAAATTATTTCAATTTTTTATTTTCTAAATATTTAATTCAAGAATTTCCGAATAATCAAATTTTGTAAAATTGAATTGTAAACAAATGGATTTGGAAATTATCTAGAAATTTTTTAAAAACTATTAAAAATAATTGATAATTGTTTATTTATTTGTTTTGAAGAATTTGAATAAAATTTTTGAAATTAATTACATTTTTCGAAGGAATTTACTTAAAATTGTATTAATAAAAATAATTGAAATCCTGTGAAGAATTTTAATATTCATCAAAATAATTGAATTTTGGAAAAGAATGTTATTAAAATTTCTTAAAATAATTAATTTCATAGGAAGAAATTTGTTGTTTATCAAGATAATTGAATTCTTTTGCAGAATTAATAAAAAAATTTTGAAAATAATTGATTTCCTGCGACGAATTAAAAGTCATTTATGAAAATAATTAAATTATTGCAATGAATTTTATTATTTTATTGAATAATTGAATGTTTCTTAAAATTCAATTCTTTCGTCGAGTTTTAATAAAATTTTTAAGAATAATTGAATTTTTCAAGGAATTTATTTAAAATTGTATTAAAAATATTTGAAATTCTGCGTTGAAAATAATTGAATTCCTAAATGAAATTTTATTATTTTTGAAAATAATTTAATCTTTTCGTAGAATTGTATCAAAAAGTTTTGAATTGCGAAAAACTTTTGAAAATAATTGAAATTGGGTAAAGAATTTTATTTAAATTTTTGAAAATAATTGAATTTTTGGCGAAAAATTTTGCTACTTACAAAAATAATTGAATTCTTGACAAGATATTTGTAAAAATTTTTTTAAATAATTGAATTCTTTTGGAAAATTTTATTAAAATAGTAGATATTGAAAATCATTGAAAATAAAAGTGAATGTCAATATCGAAACGAAAGTCAAAGTCAAATTACAAAATTGCAGTCCAGAATTGAAAGAGATGACACGTTTGACTAAAAAAAGTCAAGTAAGGCCCTGACCAGTTTCCTCCTCGTTTCTTTTCTCAGAACCACGTGAAAAATAGTAAAAACTCTCAAAAATCCAACTCTGACCCATATTTGAAATTCTTGCACCATCCCCGACTACTTATAAAAGGGAGAATTTTTTCCCTTTTTGAAAAAAGTTTGTTGATTGAAAAAATTTTTTACTTTAGTCAACATTCTTTCATTCACTCTCTTTCTCTCTTTTTCCCTCTCTGAGTGAAGATTTTTCTTATTCTATATGCAAAGGAGATAAAAATTGTGAGAACATAAATTTAAATGACGGTGTATACTTTGATTTGGGGAAAATTCAAAGTTCCATCACTCGGAACATAGAGGCATGAAAATCTCCAGTTTAGGAGACCCGGATATCCCTTGCGTTCTCTGAATCCTCAAAGAATCGAGTCAACGTAAAAGTAAATGGAATCGAGGTAGAAAATGTTTCAGAGAATACTCTACTACCTCTCTACCTTGATTTCGAGCCTTACAATTGTGTCTTTTGAACGTTCACTAAATTAAATGTAAACTCCTTTCTGTAATGGAAGGATTTCACCGGGATTTGTCAAGTCGAACAATTTTATGAGTAAACGCAATTCATAAATTGCATTTTCAAGAAAATTACAATCATTTTCCTTCTTTATAATTCAGGTTTGCGGTACAGTTTGCGAAATCACAGGCTTCTCACTCAATGATTAATTTTTTTTGTAAAAAGTATCAAAAAGTAGCTAAAAAAAAGAAAAAAAATAAGTTAAAAAAGTAGTAAAAATGTAGCTATCGAAAATTATTTTTAACGAATAAAAAAAAATTGTTTTCGTCGATTTACAAAAATTTGATTCAGTATTTCCCTCACTGTATCTTGATTTCAATCAAAAATATTTATTTTTATTCTTATTGAAATAAATTTTTTTACTATTCTACGAATACATTCAATTATTTTCATAAATAATAAAATTTCATTTAGGAATTCAATTATTTTCATCGCAGAATTTCAAATATTTTTAATACAATCTTAAATAAATTCCTTGAAAAATGCAATTATTCTTAAAAATTTTATTAAAACTCGACGAAAAAATTGAATTTTAAGAATCATTCAATTATTCAATAAAATAATAAAATTCGTTGCAACAATTTAATTATTTTCACAAATAACTTTTAAATGGTCGCAGGAAATCAATTATAAACAACAAAATTCTTACCATAAATTCAGTTATTTTTAGGAATTTTAATAACTTTCCTTTCCATAATTCAATTATTTTGCTAAATATCTTCTTTTGGAACAATTTTAATAAAATTTTTGAAATTAATTACATTGTTCGTAGAATTTACTTAAAATTATATTAATTTACTTAAAATTGTATTAAAAATAATTGAAATCCTGTAAAGAATTTTATTATTTAAGAAAATAATTTTAAAAAATTTTTTCTAGGATTTAAATTATTGTTTTAAACATTTTTTGCAAGAATTCAATTACATTTCACAAATAATGAAATTCTTCGTTGAAATTCAAATATTTTCAAAATCTACTATTTTAATAAAATTTTTCAAAAGAATTCAATTATTTTTAAAGAATGTAAA